CCTTTGATCCCAGCACTTGGGAGGCAGAGGCAGGTGGATCTCTATGAGTTCAAGGCCAGCCTGATCTACGTAGTGAGTTCCAGGACAGCTGGGGCTACAGAGACCCTGTCTCAAAAAGGCCAAAGAAAAAGTAATTTTATTTCAGCAAAGTAGAAAAATAAGCATTTTGAAGAAAGTATGCCTACTTGTAAGTATATTCCTATGCTTTTATTGTCTAAATCTCATTATTTTACTGTCCTCCAGACCCTTATACATATACCTCCAAACCCCTCCAGTCTTATTAAGTGCCTGGTCACTGGTTTGTGCACATATTAGAACTCAGGTTACATCTGTCCATATACCTACGTCCTTACTTCTGTGATTGTAAATTATGGCTTACACTGGCAAACTGGAACGCTAGAACCTCATGTACTGCAGAGTGAAGTCACACTGCTTCTAATAATGCTGCGTTAGGATGATGTGCATACTTAGGAATAACTTCACAGAGAGGCTGCGGAATTCAAGCGCCCATAGACACTTTGCTAACTGCAAAGTGCTGTGTACATGAAAGGTGTCACTGTGTCCTTGAGTTTTGCAGACTCTGAACTGAATTCAGCACATCCAAGATAATGAGATAGTGATTTGTCTCACACTAGGTTCCCAAGGGATGTGCTATTTCATTTTATTTTGGCATTTTCAGAAGTTATTTCCCTCTTATTTCTTAGTATGAATTGTATCAATATCCTCAAAGACTGAATCATTGCACAGGTAAGTTACAGAAGCCCAAATCAATTGATTAGCCTTCTAAGTATTTCTGTTTTGTCTAAGAATAAAGCAATACGTAGCTGAATGAGAAGTTACTGCATTTATGAAACAATTCTCCATGGAGTTAAACGTTAGAAATACATTGCAAACAAAACAAAACAACTAAGTTTAAGACGTGATCAAAGGTGATGGTGAAGAAAAAAATTGGAACACATGTCTAATGATGACTTTAAAATTTTCAGTTTTTCTTTTTGGTCTAACAGTTATTTTTAGAATCAAAATACTTAAATTTTAAATGAAATTCATGGAAAAGACTGAGAAGCACTTTGGAATACAGGTTGTCCATAGTTTTATACTGAATAAAGATTTCCACAACCTTTATTCAAATGGATTATTTCACAAAACTACTGACCAAGGCCAAAGAGAATGAGAAGTAATTACAGGGACTCAATGAACTAATGAGGATAATGGTTTTTTTTAATGTTTTGCTTTGAAATATTGGTCCTTCAGTGTTTCAGTTTCCCACGCCCAAGGAAACTTCTTCTGTTTTAGCCACCTGTCATTTATAGCAATTTAGCAAATTGTATTTTTGAAAACAGGATTGAAATATTATTTCTCCCTATTTCATCCACCCAGATTTTGGAAACTATTAGTGTGTATTCTTATTTTCTGGCACTGTTTGTTTTCATAGTCATCATGAAGCACCACAGCAACTGTTGGTGACAGTGAGTGTTTGTGCCTAGCTCACTCTCTTCCTGTTCTGCAATCCAGGATCCTAGACCAGGCAATGGTGCTATGGACAGTGAGCAGGTCTTCCCACCTCAGTTAACCTAATCAAGATGATCCCCTATGGGATTCCTAGAAGCCTAACTCCTAGGTGAGTCTAGATCTCCTCAAGTTCATAATTAAAATTAATCATTTCCCAGGGGAATCTGCAAATAAACTTACTCTATCAATTTCTTCTAATACATTTATATTTCCACAGTTTCCTACCTCTAAAACTCTAAAAAATTGATCTTTTTTTTTTTTGTCTTTTTTTTTTTTTTTTTTTTTTTTTTTTTGTCTTTTTGAGACAGAGTCTCCCTGTAGCCCTAACTAGCCTGGCACTCACTATGTAGGCCAGGGCTGCCTCAATCTCACAGAGATCCTCCTGCCTCTGCCTCTTAAGTGAAAAATTTGTCATTCTTACTTGAAGACACCACACAGTGAGAATTTCATGCTACTGCCTTGAGTTACCTTTTATTGGGGTTTCTCCTACATAA